GTCCTGCTTGTTTCCCCCATTGACCTCCTCTATCCTGCTCCCAACCCCTCTCCAGACCTTCACTGCACTATTGTCTATGTCCATAGGTTATGCATATATTCATATTAATTCTTTGGTTAATCTCTTCCCATCCCCTTCACCTCTTCGCACTGAAATGCGTCAGTCTGTTGCATGCTTCAATGTCTCTGGGTCTGTTTTTTCGGTCAGTTTATTTTGTTCATTAGAGTTCACATATAAATGAGATCATGTGATACTTGTCTTTCGCTGATGGACTTATTTCACTTAGCAAAGTTCTCTCCATGTCCCTCCATGCTGTCTCAAAGGGTAAGAGATCCTTCTTTTTTACAGCTGCATAGTTTTCCATTGATGGGCACTTGGCTGTTTCCAGATCTTAGCTATTGTAAATAATGCTGCTGTGAACATAGGGGTGCATATATTTTTTCTGATTGGTGTTTCAGGCTTCTTAGAATATATTCCTAGAAGTGGAGTCACTGAATCAAATGGCATTAACTACCTATTTTTATACTATATATTTTTATTATAAAGGTGTTGGAAGAAATATAACACATTGTTATCATTACCATAGAGCTTGCAGTCTAGCTGCGCAAACCAAAAATACATATCCTATCCTATATAAGAAAAGGCTAATATGCAAATAGACCAAACGGTGGTACGACCGGTCACTATGACATGCACTGACCACCAGGGGGCAGACGCTCAATGCAAGAGCTGCCCCCTGGTGGTCAGTGTGCTCCCACAGGGGGAGTGCCACTCAGCCAGAAGCTGGGCTCACGGCTGGGGAGTGAAGCGGCAGTGACAGGAGCCTCTCCTGCCTCCGTAGCAGCGTTAAGGACCCCTCAGCAGGCATCCCCCAAGGGGTCCCGGAATGTGAGAGGGCGCAGGCTGGGCTGAGGATCCCCTCCCCCCCCCGCCACCATGCAAGAATGTCATTCACTGGGCCTCTAGTCCTATCTAATAAAAGAGAAACATGCAAATTGACCATAACCCCAACACCCCATTGGCTAATCAGGATATGCAAATTAACTGCCAACCAAGATGGCGGCCAGCAGCCACACAGCTGAAACGAACAGGAGGCTTGCTTGCTCTAGCGATGGAGGAAGCCAAGGTTCCCCACCTGCCACTGCTGGGCTCTGAGGTGCAGTCTAAGAAACAATGTTGCAATTATAGAAGCTAAACAA